TGACTAAGATGTTGCTGGGGTTGCCAATTTGGTATGGCTACCTCAGTGACTACTCAGTTGTACACTAGTGCCAGGCAAGTCCAAAATTGACTTCCGGGAAGATGGCGGGGCACTGGCGCCGCTCCCACAGCATGCTCACATGGCGGCCTCTGCAGGCAGAGTGGCCCCAGCCGCCTATCACCACCCCAGCCACCTCTCGCCACCCCTGGCGCTCCCAGCTCCTGGTCGTGCCGCAGCCTGCTCAGTCTCTCTCTGGCTTGCGGTTCCAGCTGCTCCCGGGGCCAGGGAGGCGACAGCCCCCTCCCTGGCAAAAACCACAGTCACTGGATCCCGAGTCCTGGCGGCGGGGCTGTGCAGCCTGGCCCGGTGCTGAGGGCAGCAGCGGTGTAGCCAGGCGCCGAGTGGCAGCCACTCCCAGAGGCTTCTTCCCGGGGAGGATTTTGTAAATTTCACAAAATGGTGCACACTCCAAACCTCAGTGCCCATACCTTGAGAGTCCCCTTCAAGGTCTCAGCAATCCTTCAGAGCAATCCACCTGGGTAGCAACAGCTACCCCCAGCACAAGCAAGGACACCAGAGACCCTGACTCACCATCAGGATTTCTGAGTTCCTCTTCTTGCTGATGGGATCCTCTGGGATCCTGCACTCTGTGCCATGGCGGCTCACTCCCTTCCCACCACCATGTTTTTTCCCTCCAAGGCTATCATTCTGAAATGAAGGATAAATAGTATATTTCTCAGATCAACAAAAACTGCAGGAGTTCACTACCACATGACCAGACTTACAAGAAATTCTCAAGGGAGTACTGGGCTTGGTACCTGAAAAACAACCACCACTGCCATAAATACTCAAGGAAAAACAAAACCCACTAGTAAAATAAAACTGGTAACAATAAAGAAAAAAAGTTTAACACCTCAAGAAACCAACAAATACAGAAGACAAACAGTAAATCAGAAAGAAAGGAACAAAAGAAAGAAAATAAAGAATCCAGAGGAACAAAAAAGGAACAAAAGAAAGAATAGCAGAAGATACTTATGACATCCAAACAAAAATCAATAAAATTCTAGGAGTATATCAACACTTTTCAATAACAATTCTTAATGTAAAAGGATTAAATTCCCCAATCAAAAGACACAGACTGACTGACTGGATTAAAAAGATGGACCCAACTATATGCTGCCTTCAAGAAACCCACCTCACCTATAAAGACACACATAGACTAAGAGTGAAAGGATGGAAAAGATATACCATGCAAACAGAAATGAAAAACAAGCTGGAGGAGCTATTCTTATATCTGATAAAATAGACTATAAACTAAAAACCATAAAAAGAGAGAAAGAAGGCCACTATATAATGATAAAAGGATTTATCCATCAAGAAGACATAGCAATCATAAATATATTTGCACCCAACATTAGAGCAGCCAGATTTATACAGTAAACACTATTAGACCTAAAGAATGAGATAGACACTAATACCATAATAGCAGGGTACCAAAACACCCCACTCTCAATATTAGACAGATCATCTAGGCAAAAAATCAGCAGAGAAAAACATGATCTAAACAACACTTTAGACCAATTGGACTGGGCAGATATCTATAGAACATTCCATCCAACAACCTCAGAATATTCATTCTTCTTGTCAGTACATGGAACATTGTCCAGGATAGATAACATGTTAGGTCACAAATCAAGTCTCAACAAATTCAAAAAAATTGGAATTACCCAATGTATTTATTCAGATCACAATGGATTAAAATTAGAAATCAATGATGAATGAAACTCTGGAAACTATATAAACACATGGAAATTAAACAGGATACAACTTAATTGCATATGGGTCCAAGAAGAAATTAAGCAGGAAATCAAAAAATTTATTGAAACTGATGAAAATAATGATATATCATACCAAAACCTGTGAGATACTGCAAAAGCAGTACTAAGGGGGAAATTTATCACATTAAATGCGTACTTCAGAAGAATGGAAACATGGCAAATAAACAACCTAACACTTCACCTTAAAGAACTAGAGAAATAAGAACAATCCAAACCCAAAGTTAGCAGACAGAAAGAAATCATTAAGATTAGAGCAGAACTTAATGAAATCGAAACGAAAAAAAAGGTATAGAAGATCAATGAATCAAAAAGTTGGTTTTCTGAAAAAAAATAAAATTGACCAACCATTAGCAAGGCTAGCTAAAAAAAAGAAGAGAGAAGACCCAAATAGCAAAAATTAGAAATGAAAAAGGTGATATTACAACTGATACCTCATAAATACAAGGAATCATTAGAGACTACTATAAACAACTATATGACAACAAATTTGAAAATCTGGAGAAAATGGATAAATTTCTGGACACACACATACTACCAAAACTGAGCCAAGAGGATATAGAAAATCTGAATAGACCAATAACAATAAAAGAGATTGAAGGCTGTTATCTGAAGGCTCCCAACAAAGAAAAGCCCAGGACCAGATGGGTTTACTGCAGAATTCTGCCAAACCTTCAAAGAGGAATTGATACCAATTCTCTACAAACTATTCCAAAAGATTGAAACAGAGGCCATTCTCCCAAACTCATCCTATGAAGGAAACATCACCCTGATACCAAAATCAGACAAAGATACAACAAAAAAAGAAAACTACAGGCCAGTATCCTTGATGAATATAGATGCAAAAATCCTCAATAAAATACTAGGTAGCAGAATACAGCAACACATACACAAAATTTTCCACCATAATCAAATGGGATTCATCCCAGGAATGTGAGGTTGGTTCAACATATGCAAATCAATATATGCGATACACCACATCAATAAAATCAAAGACAGTCTATATGATCATCTCTATAGATGCTGAGAAAGCATTTGAGAAAATTCAACATTCGCTCATGATAAAAAACTCTCTACAAGTTAGGTGTTGATGGAAAGTATCTCAACATAATTAAAGCCATGTATGATAAGCCCACTGCCAATATCATCCTGAACGTGGAACAGCTAAAAGCTTTTCCCTTTTCCCTTAAGAACAGGAACTAGACAAGGATGCCCACTCTCATCACTCCTATTCAACATAGTGTTGGAAGTTCTAGCCAAAACAATCAGAGAAGAGAAGGAAATAAAGGGCATCCAGATTGGAAAAGATGAAGTCAAACTGTCCCTGTTTGCAGATAACATGATCCTATATATCAAACAGCCTGAAGCCTCTACAAAAAAATGCTTAGGGTTGATAAATAATTTCAGTAAATTTGCTGAAAAATCAGTAGCATTTCTATACTCCAACAGTGAACATGCAGAAAAAGAAATGAAGAAAGCCTGCCCACTTACAATAGTCACCAAAAAAAAAATAAAATACTTAGGAATAAAGTTAACCAAGGATGTGAAAAATCTCTACAATGAGAACTACAAACCACTGCTGAGAGAAATGAAAGAGAACACAAGAAGATGGAAAGCATATCCCATGCTCTTGTATTGGAAGAATTAGCATTGTGAAAATGTCCATATTACCCAAAGTGATTTATAAATTCAATGCAATCTGCATCAAAATTCCAATGACATTTTTTCTCTGAAATGGAAAAAAAAGTATCTTAACATTTATAGAATAACAAAAGACCATGCATAGCCAAAGCAATCCTGAGCAAAATAAATAAATAAATAAAGGTGGAGGCATAACACTACCTGACTTTATACTACAAAGCTATTATAACCAAAACAGCATGGTACTGGCATAAAAACAGACTCATGAATTAATGGAATAGAATAGAGAATCCAGAAGTCAACCCATACACCTACAGCCATCTGATCTTTGACAAAGGCACCAAGTCTACATACTGGGGAAGAGACTGCCTCTTCAGCAAATGGAGCTGGAAAAACTGGATATCCATATGCAGGAGAATGAAACTAGATGCATACCTTTCACCATACACCAAAATCAACTCAAAATGGATTGTGCGGGATCAACTCACTGGAGAGTGCGCCCTCCCGCCGAGGGTTCAGATCCCATGTGGAGACTGGTTCCTGCTCACTGGCTGAGCGCAGTGCGGGCGCAACACCGAGGGTTGCAATCCCGTTGCCGGTCAGTAAAAAAGACAAAAAGGAAAAAAAATGGATTAAAGAATTAAATATGCATCCTGAAACAGTAAAACTCCTTAAAGAAAACATAGGGGAAACACTCCCGGAAGTAGTACTGGGCACAGACTTCGTGAATATGACCCCAAAAGCAAAGGCAACCAAAGGAAAAATAAACAAATGGGATTATATCAAACTAAAAGGCTTCTGAGCAGGAAAAGAAACAACAGAGTTAAAAGACAACCAACAGAGTGGGAGAAAATATTTGCAAAATATACATCTAATGAAGGATTAGTATACAGAATATACAAGGATATCAAACAACTTTACTGGAAAAAAAAGTAACCCAATTAAAAAATGGGCAAAGGAGCTGAATAGGCATTTCTCAAAGGAAGATATAAGAATTGCTAACAGACACATGAAAAGTGCTCAACATCACTCAGCATTCAGGAAATGCAAATTAAAACCACACTGAGATACCATCTCACTCCAGTTAGGATGGCTAACATCCAAGAGACTGAGAATGATAAATGCTGGTGAGGATGCGGAGCAATAGGAACCCTCCTACACTGTTGGTGGGACTGCAAAATGGTGCAGCCTTTATGGAAAATGGTTTGGAGGTTCCTCAAACAATTATAGATAGATCTACCATGTGACTCAGCTATCCCACTGCTGGGAATATACCCAGAGGAATGGAAATCATCATGTCAAAAGGATACCTGTACTCCAGTGTTTATTGCAGCACTATTTACAATAGCCAAGAGTTGGAACCAGGACAAATGTCCACCATCACATGAGTGAATAAGGAAACTATGGCATATCTACACAATGGAATACTACTCTGTTATAAAACAGAATGAAATACTACCATTCGCAGCAACACAGATGGACTTAGAAAAAAATTATATTAAGTGAAATAAGTCAAGCACAGAAAGAGAAGTACTCCATGTTCTCACTTATTTGTGAGAGCTAAAAATAAATAAATACACAAACAAATGGTGTGTGTGTTGGAGGGGGGCGCAACCAGAAAGAAGATAGAACAATCACAATTCCTTGAACTTTTTTTTTTTTGTCTTTTTTTTTTTTTTTTCCGTGTCCGGCAA